AATTATCACTCCCTAATCAAATTTGCAGCATAAAAATAACACACGCTGCAATTACAGCATATCAACCTATTTTTATTTCAATGCAAAATAAGTCTATAACGCATAGGTGGCTGTGAAAAATAAACGCCATAACAACTGTGTTTATTAATTACAGCTGTCAGAATACGTTTAAAATATACTAAGTGACATATAAATCCGAACACCCAGTTTAAATGATTTTATTTTATTAAATTTTGTATAAGTACTTAATGAAGCATAATAAGTAAATGATAAAAATTTCAAAATGATTGCACTGCTTTAAAGCCCTTTGACCTTTAATAATGTGTTGATGCACCCTGATGTGCTACGCATTCTCCAACACGCCTAGGCATGCTTCTGATCAGGTGGTCAATGTCCTCCTGTGGTATTTCATTCCAGGCAACCACCAACTCCTCTCGAAGTGCTTCTAGAGTCTGAGGAGGACGTTGCAAATTGAGCAATCTCCTACCCATCATATCCCACATGTACTGAATTGGAGATAAGTCGGGAGATCTTGGTGGCCATGGTAACATTGTGACATCATTATGTTGATAGAAGTCTATTGTGACTCTTGCAACATGTGGTCGGGCATTATCTTGTTGGAAAGTTGGATCTGCCAGGGTGTCAAGATAGGGTAAAAGATGGGGTTCTAGAACTTCGTGGATATAACGCTGCGCGTTCATGTTACCTCTGATGAAGATTAAAGGTGACCTGGAACCATAAGCTATAGCACCCAAACCATAACTCCAACAGTGTGATGAACATGTATTTCAACAAAAAACTGTGGATTCCTCCTTTCACCACGTCGCCTTCTAACCCTGGCACGACCATCGTGCATGCCTAAACAAAATCGAGACTCGTCACTAAAGACAATACTGTTCCATTCCTGATCCCAGAGTGACCGTTGTCTGCACCACTCAAGGCGATTACGTCGGTGTAAGGGTTAGAAGGCGACGTGGTGAAAGGAGGAATCCACAGTTTTTTTTTGAAAGACATGTTCATCACAGTGTTGGAGTTATGGTTTGGGGTGCTATAGCTTATGGTTCCAGGTCACCTTTAATCTTCATCAGAGGTAACATGAACGCGCAGCGTTATATCCACGAAGTTCTAGAACCCCATCTTTTACCCTATCTTGACACCCTGGCAGATCCAACTTTCCAACAAGATAATGCCCGACCACATGTTGCAAGAGTCACAATAGACTTCTATCAACATAATGATGTCACATGGCCACCAGGATCTCCCGAATTATCCCCAATTGAGCACGTGTGGGATATGATGGGTAGGAGATTGCTCAATTTGCAACGTCCTCCTCAGACTCTAGAAGCACTTCGAGAGGAGTTGGTGGTTGCCTGGAATGAGATACCACAGGAGGACATTGACCACCTGATCAGAAGCATGCCTAGGCGCGTTGGAGAATGCGTAGCACATCAGGGTGCATCCACACATTATTAAAGGTCAAAGGGCTTTAAAGCAGTGCAATCATTTTGAAATTTTTATCATTTACTTATTATGCTTCATTAAGTACTTATACAAAATTTTATTAAAATCAAACCATTTAAACTGGGTGTTCGGATTTATATGTCACTTAGTATATTTTAAACGTATTCTGACAGCTGTGATTAATAAAAACAATTGTCATGGCTTTCATTTTTCACAGCCACCTATGCGTTATAGACTTATTTTGCATTGAAATGAAAATAGGTTGATAAACGTATTCTGACAGCTGTGATTAATAAAAACAATTCTCATGGCTTTCATTTTTCACAGCCACCTATGCGTTATAGACTTATTTTGCATTGAAATGAAAATAGGTTGATATGCTGTAATTGCAACATGTGTTATTTTTATACTGCAAATTTGATTGGCGAGTGATAAAGTTGGTGTTTTCTACTATATATTATCAAAATATTCATTGTTAATATTTTAAACCTATAACACCTTGCTACATTTTATTATTTGTGTCTGATAGGAAAAAAACTAAGATTTCAATAGTTGGGCCAACTGACGTGGGAAGGGGCTCGTACCTAGGCGATCCTGAGTTTTTTGGTTTACGGGGTGTCATACTAAAAATGTACTGTATAGGAATGAAGAAAAGAAAAAATAAGTGAACTGTCACCTGGAAGACAGATACGCAAAAATATACTGTCATTAAAAAGGCCACCGTGTATTGGCCGAAATAATACTAATAATAATAACAATGATGGCCTTCATTTTTGGGCTAACTTCAGCTTGACAGCTGCATAAATATACTCAGTCACATTAAAAGTGTTACACCCAAAAATAATTTCCTCAACTTGATTTTTTTGCAAAAGGTACTCTTACATCAAGAATGAAATGATAGCAGCTGAATACACACCTGTCTAGGCATCGAACCTCTCAACTTTTTGATACAATTCTCAAACAAAATCCTATTTTTCTAGAGTGAAAACATCTTAGAAAAAGTTACTGCGGTATCGATGCTTTATAGTCTTAAATTAGTAAAGTTTGCCGATTACCATATTTTTCACGCATATTTGTAGGGATTAAAATGAATTTTGAAATTGGATCTAGCAATCCGCATTCAAAAATGCCTCAGTTTATATTTATAAATGGCATGGGATAATTAACAAACCGGATTGTATTTGAACTCAACTCAAATAAATCATTTCGTTTAAGTTCTGAATGATGCGTGAAAATTGGGCCTGTTCCAAATTGCTGCATTTTTGAACCAGACCATGAAGGAAACTGCAGTTAATGTAGATGTTCATGTACGATATATATGCTTTATCGCCTATGTAGATTTTGAGCTATTTTCTTTCAAAGCATTGTGAATATATACAACTATAAAATCCATATGACATTGACTCAGTTACCGATTCGTTACGACTTTGGTTAAACAGCGAGACATAGGCATTAAATGTTTGTACAAATCGTTGTTTTTAATACATTGGTGAACATTGGGGACTGACAAGACAAGTATTATTAGAATTTGAGCATTTTGTTTAAACCGAGTAGGCCAAAAATGGTTTCCTGATTATACGTTCAAATTGTCATCATGATACGGCTGGAGTATTTACCGCCATTTTGATGAACGCGTTTGATCAAAAATCTTTGAAACCATCGATGTCAAAAAGTAATAGAGACAGATTTGTAAGGAATTAAATTCTTCATCATCATATACACCTCGAACTGTCAAGTCTGAAAATCCCCCATTCGATTGTTTGCTTACCGTTATCTGATACTGATTATTGCTAAAAAGCAAGAAACAACATTGTATACGGTTGGTTATTTTCATAGAGACGGAAAGCAAACAGCCAGTGGAAAATTGAATAGTTTAGTGACTTTAAAATGACCATGTCTATCTGTTGGCCAGATCGAGTCAAATGTTTTTTTAAGTCAACTGTCATTTGAAACCAGAAATATTGTGGTAAAAATACTTCGAAATGTACTGTCGAATATTTTGGAACACCCTGTATGCGTGAATTAATAATAAAGAGGCATTATTTATTTTTACTGAAGTCTTGCTTTATTAACCGACCGCTCCACAGCGGTCTAGAACACCCAAAAAGATGGCAAAACATGCAACCTCTGCGGCATCTCACGAAATTCGGTACAGAAGGGCTTTTGAGGTATGATTTCAAATCTGCTGACAAACAACAGACATTCAATATGGCATATTCAATATTATATTTCAAACATACCAAACAAGAAAATACAAAGTGATTATCCATTACTAGAAAACTAAAATTTGATGTCTGGAAGAACGAATCTGAGGTTAAATAGACCTTTGATTAATTTCGCAGCTTTACATTTCCTCTGATTTCAATTTCAGTTGTGCTGCATACGTCAATATTTGAGCGTTCATGCTGGTCCGTAGTTCGACAGTATTTAATACTTTGTTCTTTCAGAACTAAAGGCAAGACTACATTTTGGACGGCCTTCAGTGATTGATTCTCTGGGGCAGATTTTTCTTGCTAATTTTAATTTGCAGTTAAGTCGATCTTTGTATCTGATTGAAAAAGGGACCTGTTTTGAGATACCTCCATCCACTTATTTCCAAATTTTGATATAGGTAAATCTTGTAAGATTTCTATTTTCGGTACCACATAGCTTCTGTTCACTTGTTTAAAAATTTTGGGCTTGCAATTTATGATACTTTCATCTAGACACTTTTATAGAAAACCATGCAGCATGTTGGATACGTATACGTACCATATGTAAAGATTAAATCCTAATCTGAAAGTAATATAACGTAGTATAGCAAAGGGTGGATACGAGCATTTATTTTAGCTGGTTTGGATTGATTAAGCACATATTGCTGAAAAGCTTGTGAAAGTTCGCAAGTTTTGATTCTGGCTTCTAAATGATGGTAACAGAATCAGGACACATGTTTATTATATAGATGATGATATATGTTAGCTTCTGTAGTAGAATCCATACTGAGATATCTCAGTATGGATTCTACTACGATATCTCGGATTTTTCAAAACACCACACGGTCAAGGATTTTAAAACATAAAAGTTATAATAAATTACTATACTGTTACCAAGTATCATCTTTCAAATCCGTTTTAAATTCCATCCATTTTTATCACTTCATTTTTTGTCTTTTTTCCAACTCTTTGGGTATTCTAGACCCCTGTGCAACCATTTACAAGCCGTATAGGGTAAGTCGAGGAAAGATGGCCATACTTTTTATTATTGGGTATATTGTTTGATAGATGGAAAGTACAAACTTGAAATTTGGTATAGAGTGTGTAGGTTGATTACCTTTAAAATTCAATGCGAGCAGCAAAATAGTTTTTTCAATAATTCTCATGTCATAAAAAGTGGCATTTGGCCATCTCTTTTACAGTCTGTAGGAGAGATGACCATACCTTTAAGGTGAGATGGCCAGGTAGATTTTATGTATTTTTTCGCAGGAAAATAAAATACTTAGGTCATAGTAGACGCACACAACACTTTATTTTTACATAAACGATAAAAAAATAAAATGGGAACCCACCCAAAGTGCCGCATACATGTTTTTTTTTTTACAAACTAAGAGCAGTTTACTTTGCAGTATTAGAAGAACACAAATCACAAATAAAATTTGCAGAGGTACTTTGCTCGCTGCATAATTTGTGGACCCATTTTCCACAGTAAATGCACCTATACCAAGTTTCACCGCTCTTCCCAAATTCCTGGCAAACTAAGCAGATGTCCACAACGGCGATGTCGTTGTCATTCAGGTAGTTTTTTTCTATATATTTGTTTTCTTTGCTCAAAAGATTAGCGAGGGGTTCTTCGTCAGATTCTGTAAAACAGCTGTTAATCTTTATTTCCTTGGTTCTACTTACTTTAGGTTTATCATCAGTTTTTCTTTTCTTGGTTTTTTTTTGTAGTAAATTCTGAAGCAACTGATCTGGACCGTCTGTTTCCAGATTTTGACAAGTACCTTCTGGTTGAATGTTATTCTCGGCAAGGTTTTTAATAGCGGTTGCACTATTATCGTTATCTTCATTTATCAAAGCTGGCTCATCAACTTGGTCATCACCAATATTTTCTAAGGTTCTATCTTGAGCATCGGATAAGTTTTGAGTCCCAGTTTGAATTGCCACGTCTGGTGTTTCAATTTGAACATAGCAAAAGCGTAGTCCGGTATGGCATCTAGATTATATGTGAAGATACCGGTACTTCTGAAACCACTAACAGCATTATTAATAGTTACAGATTTTCCCCAGGTATCAGATAATAATTCTCCAAGCTGGTATCGTGTTATACGCCTGCCAGGATGACGCTTCAACCAAAGTCTGCAGTTTGAATCAAATGCATTTTTAAAAGACTTGAAAACAGCCCTATCTAATGGCTGTAAGAAATGGGTGCCAAGGACTAGGAAAACATAGCAAAATTATGTCATTTTCTTTCGCATACTCCAGCATTTCAACAGAGGTAGAATGAGGCGTATGCCCATCTAGTAATAGAGTCTTTCCTTCTGGTTTTCTGGGAGTGAAGTGTTCCTTCAACCAAGACAAACAAAATTGTGAATTCATGTATGCTGACTTCGGTGACATAAAAAGCTTACTCCCAGGGGGTAGGTTATCTTCAAATTCTTTTTTGATATTCTTACCCTTCATAATGGTTGCTGGGGGCAAGAATGTGCCTTCCGCATTGCAGCAGGCTACTAAGGTAATGGTTTCTCCCTTCTCAGAAGAGGTGATGGCGGAAACACTTTTTGAACCTTGTTCAGCTAAAACTTTATCGGGGCGATTGTTCAGCTGGAGACCTGATTTATCCATATTAAATATATTCATCGGTTTGTCAAATAATATATTTTTTACTACCTCACGGTTCATAGATTGACTTCTTGGTAGAGAAAGACCTTCGGATTTCCTATTAGTAATTGTGGGGTTTCGCCTCAGAAATGATTGCAGCCAGACGTGTCCAGCCATTTCGGTGTTAGGGTTAAATTTGTGCCTAAATCCCAATTGATTGGTGAATTCGTAAGCAAGCCTGCGCACATCTTGTCTGGTTAAGGCAAATCCGCTTTTCTGCATATTTTTGATATGTCTAACCAACCTCTTCTCATTGGAAGTACCCAACAAAGAATCCGGGCCCAGCTTCCATTTTTTATCGTTATTATGTTTAAGCCTTCTTTCCAAAGAAGCTCTTCTAACGGGCATTAAACTATCTTTAACTGCTGCCATAGCATTTTTAAGGTTGTCCTTTGTCCTACTTCCTCGATTATTGAAATTTTTTCGCATGTACATGTTTGGCATCTAAAAAAATATATCAAAAGTGGGTATCTCCGAATATATTCCCAACAAGACGAAAACAATTGATGGGTTTAAAAAAAAAAAAGAAAAAAATAAGTAAAACGTAGTAGAGATGGCCATATGGCCATCTTTCCTTTAAAAAGATAGGGCCATCTCTCCTTATTGTATAGGATAGATGGCCACCGTGTTTACTAAAATCCACGGGACCGGTGGATAAAAATGTGAGGTTAGGTTACATTCAGAAAGTCTAGCGAGAACGTTTAAGCAAGAAAAAATGCGATATACAAGGTATTTCCGTCAGAATTACAGTTTAATTAACATAACACAAAAGTCTTGCATAATGCTTATTTTATATTATCCGTTTACTTACGTTTTTATCTTGTTTTTGCTCACAATGCCACCACAACCGACCCATACGATGCAGATGACTACAGTAATGTACAATGTGCGCCACCTATCAGAAAGCCAGCGAAATAAAGAGACTGGGCCGTCTATCCTCTACGGCCATCTTTCCTGGACTTACCCTATACAATTTGCCTATGCTCCCGTCCCGTTTCCGAATCTATGCAGTCAGTTTATTGTTGCATAACTTTAAGATTCGATAGAACTTTTAAAATTAATGCATAAAGTCTATATAAACATGGTTCGAAAAATGCGTGGCTTCCGAAATACAGGGTGTTTAAATTCACTTTCTAAAATAGTTTTTTTTAAATATTTCGAACAATATTTGATGTATATTAGTGAAAATTGGTATACAAGGGTTTTTTGGTACGAAAAAACGAACCATGGGCATAGTTTTACTGTAGCCGCTAGAGGGCGCTCTCTATTGTACCTGTAGTGTATTAAAATGACCGAAAATTTTTTCTTGGTGCAATTTTTTGCTTTTTGAATAAAAAAACTGATTCTTCGCACTTTTCAACATAAAAAAGCTCTCTTGTGAGTTTTCGTTATAGTTAGCCGTTTTTGAGATATTTCGATTTTTAAGGTTCGATGCATTTTTAATTATTTATGGGAAAATAATATTTTGTTTACATTTTCAATTTGGGCATTACAAGTAATTAAGATGATCGTTTAGATTGTGTTTTTAAACACAGCAATAATTCCTAACTCCAAATAAACACAAAAAACATAATATTAATTTGTTTAATTTTCCAATATTATTTTAACAAATTAAATTAATTATTTGCAACTAAAATGCTATTGGATAGTTAGGACAAACATGCAAAATCTAAAGTAGTTGCTCGAAATGTAAACCCAATTATTCAATACACAATTCACATGTACGAATGATCGAACGTGGTATAGCATTATTCAAATAAGGCCTTATTTCATCACATGCATTCCTGATTCTGTCTATTAGCATATCTCTTGTGGTACACTTTTTCTTTTAGAAATCCCCACACAAAGAAGTCTAATGGATTTAGGTCAGGTCGGCCGATCCATCTTTCTGGATAATTTTCGTCCAGCCAGTTTCTAACTATTCTCGAATAATGAGCTGGACAACCATCAAGCTGGGACCAGGCCAATCTTCTTAAATCTAACATAACAGCATCCCACATATTTGCATGTTCAGCCTTTAAAAATTCTAAGAAGGTCGCAGCATTTAACCTTGCAGGCAAAAGGTAGGGTCGGAATAGTCGATTACGGTAGATACCAATCCACACGTTCACACTAAATTCATGCTGAAAATTTCTTTCCCGAACTGCATGCGGATTTTCATGCGACCACATATGTTGATTATGAAAATTTACCACTCCACGTCTAGTGAAGCATGACTCATCGCTCCATAAAACGTTACTTAAAAACTCCCTATTATTACCAGTTCTATCAAGAATCCACTGACAAAATGTGATTCTTCGTTCTCCGTCCCCTGGCTGTAGTCCTTGCACAGGTTGCAAATGGTAAGGACGTCTATGGTCGTTTCTAAGAACACGGTGAACATGGCTTGCTGAAATTCCCAAGGCACCAGAAACTCTCCTAACACTTGTGGTCGGATCTCTATCAAACTCACGCAGAATCATACGGGTAAATCTGCGCTGACGAACATTTATGTTTTGATCCCTTTGGAGATTTTCAAAACCATTTTCAATTATTTGGCGATGCACTCTTACAAATACTGAGCGAGTTGGATGTCGCCTGTTTGGAAATCTTCGTGCGTATTCTCTGACTGCTTCTGCTGCGTTTCCATTTACAAAGCCATACACAGAATGAATATCCGCTAACTCTTAATTGGAGAATAAAAATGGCATTTTTATAAAACTTACAAAAAAAACAGGTAAAAGAAACTAAATTTCGTGCATTCACAATTGCACATTCAACAGACAACAAAACTAACTGTCAACTAATTGACGTTTAACCTTATTCTGCTTTCAATTTCAAAAATATTTGCAGGCACAGCCTACTTCTAAAAATTATCGAGATACTGACTTTTTAACGTTATTTTATCATAAATAATTAAAAATGCATCGAACCTTAAAAATCGAAATATCTCAAAAACGGCTAACTATAACGAAAATTCACAAGAGAGCTTTTATATGTTGAAAAGTGCGAAGAATCAGTTTTTTTATTCAAAAAGCAAAAAATTGCACTAAGAAAAATGTTTCGGTCATTTTAATACACTACAGGTACAGTAGAGAGCGCCCTCTAGCAGCTACAGTAAAACTATGTCCATGGTTCGTTTTGTTGTACCAAAAAACCCTTGTATACCAATTTTCACTATTATACATCAAATATTGTTCGAAATATTTAAAAAAAACCATTTAAGAAAGTAAATTTAAACACCCTGTATTTCGGAAGCCACGCATTTTTCGACCCATGTTTATATAGACTTTATGCACTCATTTTAAAAGTTCTATCGAATCTTAAAGTTATGCAATAATAAACTGAAACACCCTATTGTTAAATAGCTACATTCAATAACCGTATTCGATTTTTCCAGGTTTCTTTCTGGGTAGATTCGTGTCAGAAAGATCCGGCAACCAAATCCGAGCTGATTTTCAGGAGCTGTCGAGGAAGGTGAACGCATTGAACAATAATTTCCAACGAGCTTTCCCTTTAGACTTCTTCAACGACACTGGCTGCAACAAAACACTGTTTCTGAAGTGCAATTTTTCAGTGATAGGAAAAAATGATACAGGAAGTCTTTTGGCCAGAGACTATCTTAGGATGTTAAACGACTGTTTCGGATACGGCTAGTTTTTAGGAATGGAATAAATTTTGCGGAAAAAGACTTGATTGGATGACAGCATTTCGTTGGAGCCATATCGTCGAATTGTTATTTTAAATAAGACTGAACATTATAGCTGGGGTATTTTTAGTTTCAAGGAACTATTTTTACTGCAATAAATTTCGTTAAATACTTTGTTAAATATATACAGTTTTCGTAAGAGGAGAAATATGTGTATATATAAAATAGTAAAACGTTGATGACTTTTGCATAGACAAATTTTGTTATTCCTAAAAGAAAATAGTTTGTACCTAAGTTAGTAACTGTTAAAGATAAATTTGTTTAATCATTACTCAATAAAATTGTCTTAGAATGATAAAATATAGCTAAAAATAAAAGAAAGTGGAACAGAATTATTTGTTTTGTATTTATATACCAAAGGAATTTTACCTATGAATCAGAAATATGCAGACATCATTTTACACTGTCTGAAATATGGGACAACATGTTGGGAGACAAATCAATGACGTCGTCATCGTTTCTCTTGAACAAATATAGAATTCTACAAATAGAACAGCTGTGAAAACAAATTTTGAAGTATCTGCTTTTTTGAGGGTAAGTAAATTTATTGCGGCAGCAGAGTTGGAGATAATGATGTATATAGTTTTCAGAATAATGTTTTTATGCTAATAAGTAGAAAAATAAGAAACTACGCCTATACAATGCTTTCCATGTTCCCCCCACTTATTTTTTCTACAGATCAAGTTAGCAAGCTGATTTTCGGGATGATCAAATTGATGCATCAATTACATTTTAACGTCAAAGTGGATGTTGAAAATTCCATTATGGCAGCTTGGCGCTAAGTAGTTAAGTCTGAGCAATTTTGTACATTGAATCGCCTATAGCACAACGACCAACAATCGAAACGCTAGTGTAGAGTAACTCTGTGAAGATGTGTGGTTGAGTAACCTAACAGCAAGATTGTGTGTATTGGTCTGCATGTGTATTAAATCAGTGATATTTGCTATGTGAAAAAATTAATCAATATGCTGCCCTATTAGCTGTGCAGGGGCTATTTGTGTTGTTCTTTCTGAATAGAGGTTATGTTCAAAGTTATACATTGCGATTTTCCCAGTTTCCTTTTGCGCTTTCAAAAACTTTGAGAAACACTGCGGGAAATCAGCACCGCACCCGCGTTGTTTGTACGAGGGATGTCTTTTAAGTTTTGCATATGGAAATAAAACAACACGGTAGGTAGTTTTAAATGACTTTATTGTTTTTCGAATTATTCTCCACGAAGACTAAGACACATCAGCATGCGCTCGAACCAATTTTCGAAGCACTTATTCCACTCGTTTGCTGGCAGATCCAAAACGGCATTTTTGAATGCGTCAACTGCTTCTTCTGGTGACTGGAACCTTTCACCACGCAGTCTGTTTTTAATTTTCGGGAAAGTCAAGAAATCGTTAGGACTTAGATTGGGACTATATGGAGGATGGTCCAATAATTCCACGTTTTCTTCCGTTAAATACTGCCTTGTTTTTTGGGCTGTGTGGGAGCTTGCATTGTCTTGGTGGAGGATGATTCTTCTTTCGGGGTTGATTTTTCGAAGCTCGGTGATGACTTTTGGCAAACAAATGGTGGTATACCAATCCGCAGTAACAGTTCTTTGCTCATTAAGAGAAATTGTTGCAGCATGACCCGCTTTTGACACAAATGTCGCGACCATCTTTTTCGAAACACTTCGAGAACGGATGACTTTTGTTGGCTTTTCTTCACCTTGGAGCACCCAAACAGCCGACTGTCGTTTATTTTCTGGTTCATAACAGTGTAAATCCACGATTCATCACCACTAACAATGCTGTACACTTTTTTTGAGTTTCCGGAATTGAAACGGTCAAGCCTTTTTTCACACCAATTAACCCTGCTTTTCTGCTCGTCAACGAGAAACTAATTTTCTTACTCCTAATTCTTCATGTAAAATTTTTTGAATCGAGGTCTCGCGATATGTCACATGTCTATCTTCAATGATGAGTTTGCGCACAGCATCGAAGTTTTCCTGGGTGACTGTCGTTTTTGGTGCACCCCCCCTGGGATCGTCGCTAAGATTCTCCATACCAACGGGAAATTGTCGAGTGATGTGGCGCTTCGTTGCCGAAAACAGACAGTAACTCAGCAAGGCATTCTTGTTGCGATAATTGTCTCTGAAAGTTGTAATAAATTATGATGCGAAAATGTTCTCGGTTGAGTTCCATTTTTATAATGACTTAGTGACACTTAAAAATTTACTGTAGTGAGAACACTGCACGTACTGTTGTAAAACTTTGAATTTAAGTTTACTAAAGAGTGAGGTTAAGATTCAGTACTGAAGTTCGATCCGCGCGGTCTACTATGTTTCTATATGCAAAACTTAAAAGACATCCCTCGTAATAAGGCAACACCACAGAAAAATTAGGAATGTCGCATCACATACAAAACATTCCCGCACTGTATCACATTTCTAGGCGCTGATTTGTATTTTCTACTTGACATCGTGAAATAAATAATAAACTTAAATGACTGGAAATGACAATTAATGTGAAATGTAATAACTTTTTTACGTTTCATAAGTATTTTTTTAAAGTATGTCCTAAAAGTTTTGGTACAAAATATTTATCGGTTTTTTTTTATCAAGAAATTTATTTAAACAATAACTAATTATCAATAACTAGTTATCATAAAGCGTGACTCAACTTACGAAGAATCGAAAACACTAGAAGATCCACTGCTTAAGATTATACTAAATCTGTAGCAGATGATCATGAAACAAAAATTAAGCACAAAAAAGTGCAAGTCAGCTTGAAGAAATAAGTTCCATCAGTGCATAAATGTCAATTTTGGGCAAATTGGCAATTAGACTCGTATCGTCAGCTGTTCTTACAATGACACTGACAATACGGCACTTAACCGTTTTACAAATCCGGCTTCCATAATGGTACGAACTTACGCAGTACTCAATATAAGTACCATACCATACCATAAGTTTCACGAGTATTCGTCACGCTTTGAGGTCAACTGAGGTGAACAGCTGATCAGCAAGTGACATTTTTGTGTTAGTCTGCAACGTTGGCAATAATGGATCGGGTATAAATCTAGTAAAACTTGTTTGTGGCGTTTTGTTTTTTTGTATACAAATTAATTTTTCTAAATAAAAGGGCTGTTAGCAAGTACAAAATGAGTCTGTAGCGTACAAAAAACAAAAAAAAATTCGTTTCTGTCTACCTGGCGTTCACAGATCCGTCAGAATTATGTGTCCTGTGCCGATATAGGGAATTTTGAGATATTACTAGATATCAGCTGTCATTCTACCGCGATGGATACTCGCGAAACAAGGTATACTTATCAGCTGAAAAGCACGTGGCCGCGTGAACAGGTGTGTCTTGTGTCTATAGATTAATGAATAAACGCACAGACGTGAAGTGCGACGGCAACAATAATTTCGCGCTATAATGTGTCAAATTTAAGTATAAATTTATTGACGAAATTCAATTTTTTTTCACTGCTTAATTATATTTCATCTATATTTTGCTGGTTTGTCATTACGTATGCGATTCTGTACATCATAAAACTTCTCCATTATATTTGGTGATATGAATCTCATCACACAGAGAAATCCATAGCCGTACTGAGTATAATAATCTGCAGATAATTTATTTATTGGCAAGCCCGCATTAACTGAATGATATGGCGCAAGTCAAAACAAATTCAGACATAGGTAACCTCTGTAGGCTTAATACAATATGATAAAAGCGGAATCCATGAAAATGCTATTTTATCGGAAAACACTTCTTTCTAACACATTACAACTTTGAAGTTGAGTCATTAATTTTCAGATAATGATTGTAGAAGAAAGATAAACCAAAATATGTGTGTAAAAATAAAAAAAAAATGAAAAAAAATGTTACCTTGTTTTATAAAGTATCCTCCCGACAAGTATTTCAGTGCGGACCTGTATTTGATCGTGCGGTCTTGGAGCACCGGCATGCCCTCCGTGATGCCGCGTAAATAAGAATCATGTCCACAAGTTCAGCATTTTCGTAAACATGTGCCATTTTTGATTTCGTTTGAGCCACGCAACAGACACCACTATTCACTCACGCGTTACCGACTGACACTGACTGTATACAACTGAATAAAATAATTGTAAAAACATCGTTCCAAATTCTTTCGCTTTTTTGTTTCCGATGCGATGAACCGATAAGGCGGATTATATCCGTTGTTGCCAAACACGAGAACATAATATTATTATTGAGACAGGGCGGTACTCAAACTTCCAAAGGGCTATAACTTTGTCACTTTAATTTTACCAGAAAAATGGTAAAGGAAAAAAACATTTCTTTTGATCAGATCTACTCACTGTTAAAATAAATGACTCAACTTCGAAGTCACCCTGTATATTTGAAATTTGAAAGTTGTTTTCGGCTCCGAGGAATAATTCAGTACTACTAAGATTCATGGAATTTAAAGATGTCCAAATTTAACAATCTTTTGGTAATAACCTCTATTATTATTATCATTATTATTATTATTATTACTACTCTGTATTTCTCAGAAGTAGTAGATGGCACCTTCTTATTTTGATAGACCATATACATCGGATAGAGGACAGTTGACATGCTTTCGATTCTTGGACTACCTAAGATCAAGCCTAGATCTTGGTGATGAGTTAAAAAAAGTCACGAAACAGCTGTCCTCAGTTGGCCGCTGCGATCGGAGGGCGAAAGCAGCGTGTTTAGTTGTTAGATGAACTATTGTATTGCATTTGAATTACTGTATTTCTGTCATATTTTTCCATAAATTCACTTCCTCCATTTAACTTTAGCGAGAAAATAATTGATGTGATTTGCTTGGAGTTCAAACATTTTTGAAGATAATGAGAAATTCTACAATTATCTACCGGTTATTACAAAAGTCATATGGCAAAAAGCATATTGCTTCAAAGAATACGAAATGCTCATTGTATTCTTTCTATTTATAAATGTATCACTACTGGTACGCCAATGAGTGTTGCGTTAACTGATATGAAGTAACAGATTTACGAACGCGATTTGTGAGTAAATTAGTTTGGTATTGAAATTGACACACATTTGTATCAACACGTCTGGTTCATGAAATTGTACCACAAAATTCTCAGTGATGTTCCAAAAGCTAAAAAAAGTTCTGGTTATATATGTGGGAGGTACTATTGGGATGCAGAAGAATGACGATGGAGGTATGTTGTTATTTTTTCAATTAAATACTCTTTAAACCACTGAGTGAGACGGATAAGTTACGTAGATTTAAATTTTATAAGGATTCTATGAACCTGACATGTCTCACTGACGCTGATAGTTTAGAAAGTATGTCACACAGCGTACTATATATTTTTTTCACTAGTATACAGAGGTATAGTTGTAGACACCGTTCCTGGCTTTTACGTCATCAAGCCATATGAAATAAGTAAACAGATCGAGGGCGAAACACTGCGCAGACTAATCTCCAGCGCACCTGCTGCTCTCCCCAGTACGCATGAAGTGGCTAACAGAGGACCGCTGTTTTTATTCTCTTCCTGGAAATACTCTGTCGGCCTTCTTCATTGATCGTATTTCCGGGCATTGTACAATTTTATATCGAAGGCACCAAAATTTAGATTTTCCTCAGACACTCAAGTATTTTCTGTTCACTAGATAATACAGCGTCAAACGTCCTAAATTTTGTTTATGCACGACAATTCAACACAATGATTAATAGGGCATAGAGTAACAAAAACCTTTGAGTCTAGCTTTTTGATGTTTATTTTTTTAGCATTCTTCTGGATATTGAATGTTTTTTTTATTGTATTATGAGGATTCCGACGCATTTGTCTCTTATCTAAAGAAGTCAAAATGCTTATAAACAAGCTTGAAAGATTAGATTTGGTCTTGAACCTGACATTGTTATACCGTCTTATCGACAGAGTGTTATGCAAAATTTCAAACAGTCTATCACATTGTGTAAGCTTATGCAATATTTGCACCATAGAGCAAATAAGGTAATATCATTTGGGTTCGAAAAACAGGTTAGAAAAAAACTTGATATTCTTGCCTTGATCAGCAATATGGAATTAAAAAAAAATGAGAATGCAGTATAAAACTTGCTAGCTATTTTGCACATTTATTTGCTTGCTAATCGTTCTTTGAATTATAGGTACTGAGTGACAACAAAAGATAAGCACCTACGTATGTTTATACGATTTCAATAATGTTTGGCATATACAGTATGTTCAGTGTCCCTTACTAGTAAAACGATTAAAGTTTCAGCTTGATTCGTCAATTGACCGCAGAAGCTGGTTCAATAATGGGTTGAGGATCCACGATTCCTTATACAATCATTGAGCCGTATTCATAAAAGAGAAGCATATCCTCCGAAGCATACGGTAAAAGTATAAGGTCTTGCTTCGGAGAAAAAGGTAGAAGTATAAGCATATCCTTCTTTTCATATTCATAATGATTACCTTATACATGCGAGGATATCCTCCAAGAAGAAGTAAAAGGTTGACTGGTATTTGTATCTTGAGTGACATGTCCTGACTTGTTCCAGCTTGTAGTTGACGTGGGAGTTCGTTCACTCAGCATCACCGACAGTTGCACTCCAGAGCTTACACAGACCGTTCCGTATTTTTACTGGATACAGTTTTTTATCAAATTAATAAGCATGTCATCCTCAAGTTATGAAGAAACTATAGAAAATAATGGCAACGACCTGCAGTTAATCGCAGATGAAATTGTCATTGCTCCCATTATTTTGCAAACGTCACAAGTTCCAAAAATAAAAATGAGAAAGGACGATGCCTTGAAGAAGATGTTGAAAAAATACGAATCAACATTCAGTAAACCATTAGATACTAAAGGCTTATTAAAAAAAATCAACAACATGAAGTCAAGATTGAAGAAACAAACAGATCTAAAAAAAACTGGTAATAAAGCAATTAAATTATTAGATTTGGAAAGAAAGTTGCTGAAAGCTATGGAAGGTGACTGTAATCCTACATTTGGGAAAATTAGAGGTGCCATTCAGGTTGGTAGTGTTCAAGAAGAAGGAAGTGAACTATATACCGAGCGCAGTAAGCAAAAAGTTAGTATTGCAGCGCCAGCAATTCAGAAGACATTGCTACCGAAAAGAAAATTAGCAACAAAGAAATACGAAACTGAGGAAATCAAAGGGTTAGCTACAAAACAACTGCAACGTCTAGTGCTATTACAGCAGTACCAAACAAGTATTTTACAACAAGAGTATTATAAACCGAAATTAGAAATGATACAATGTCAGAAGCCACCTGTAACTTATGATTTTTATGAAAATAAAACTTATTATAACTTATAAATACACTTTAATCAGTAAAACTATTTATCATAATACTCAAGTTTCTTCTTATTTGTTGATCTAGTTGGCGGAGAGGAAGTTCGTCATTCTCATGATTTCCTTCATCTTCATCTGGTTTGTGTTCAACTAACTCAATGTCAGGATCGCCCAAGCTCTTCGCAACATTATGGAGTACAATACAAGCAATAATTATTTTTGGCACATTTTCCAACTTTATGCGGCAAACATACTGTAGGATAGGAAACCGGCGTTTCAGTTGGCCGAAACAGCGTTCAATTATAACTCTTTCATGTTTTAAAAGCTTATTATAATTTATTTCTGCACCTGGAGTAGGATTTCTGAAGGCATGGCTCAATACCATAACCGTCATCGCCAAGTAGTACAACTTTTGCTTTATTTATTAGTGATCTAGTCTGTGAATTTCTCCATATTCTGGAATCATGTAGTGGTAGGACAACTGATATCAACACTTGTAAATATCGCTCTGGCATCACAAGTGGCTTGCACATTTAAAGTAGGTTTCCCTTTTCGGTTGATGTACTCATCTCTATGGCGATTTGGTTTCAGGATTCCTATATGTGTACAATCAGTTACACCAATTGGTGTCGGAAATTTATACATGCTTCGCCATATCCGCTTGACCTCCATCAGTTCCTGATTGGTAGTTGGAAACTTGATCCATTCGTTCGACTGTGCAACTATGCTGTTCACAACTCTATTCACAGTCCGAGATATCGTTGCTTGACTAACACCAAATTCCTGACCAATACCTTGTTGATATCCAGGGTCACCGAGATAGCGTACACATACCTCGATTTTATGAATACATCCAAGTGCTTCTCCTCGAGTTTCGTCATTCTCAACTAAAAATCTGTCCGCAAGCCATTGTACATTTGCTTCGTCGAACCGATATAATTTTTTGAAGTCACGCCCAAGTAAAGGTAAACTAGATTTGTACGTTTTAACATCCCTAACATCCACAATTTCCGCCATCATCGTTTGACCACCTTTCGTTACGAAGTTGAGTCTGCTACTGACCACGCTCAGAATTTTTGAGGATATGCTTCCTACGCCAAGTATAAGGTGAAGATTATGAATATCCTTTTACTTATGTCACTGCTTTGGAGGATATATACTCAAAAAGCAAAAGCATTAACTTCAAATTATTATAAATACCGTCTGGAGGATTTCCTTTAAAATTTACAAGTACAAGGTTATGCTTTGTTTTATGAATACGGCTCATTGACACGCCTGGGCATCGAGCTGATAAGGTGGTCAATATCCTGGGGTATCTCATTCCAGGCTACTGCAACTTCATGAGTAAGAGCTGTAAAAGTCTGTGGAGCGTATTGCAAATCCAAGAGCCTGCGACCTATCATGTCCCAGACATATTCAATTGGAGATGATGATCCATGAAGGCTAACGATGCTTTGACAACATGCCACTGACACCCGGTGAATTCTACACACTCTTGGCATTTTGAGCAATCACAAAAGGGTTTCTCAATGGCCTACACGAAATTTAACATTTAACTGACACTGTAAATGTACGAAAACTGAATGCTTCTTTATCACCAAACAATACACGCAGCCACCACAAAAACTTACAGAAGAACCTGACCAGTTTATCCCTTGTTGTTCATGACAACATAAATCGATATGCAAAAAATTCTTGAATTCCAATATGCATACGTATGTAGGTGTTTACCTTTTTTTGTCACTCAGTATAGTTATTGTCAACTGTGCCGTTCTGACATTACCCCACCTGTATATCAACGCATGTACAAATTAGGCCATATGTGACGGAGAGAGTTCACATACTAAACTAGGTACTATCTAAATTATTTTCTGAGTAGGTACTTCTGAAATATTTTAAATATCACAAAGCTACTTCTATTCGTCATTATCCGATGGACCTTTGCTCTTAGTTAAAAGTCTCGTCGGTCTGTTAGTCTGTCAGGTCTGGCTACCCAGATACCAAACATGTTTAAGGGGAAAAGAGAAAGAAGGAAAGAAAGGAAGGACTGACAATATACTAATAGATTATTTTGACTGATCACAAAGCTTTGTTACCGACTTGAAATACCATTATACATTATACATCCATTCCATGTAGGTGTGGAGGGTCTGATTGACTTTTGTCACAAAAAGAGTTTTTAAATTTTTAGACATCCTCTGTAGTGCCCAAAAACATACAGTGCTTTTTTTAATGTCTCCCTCCCCTTTGATTATTTGAACGGATCAATTCAAAAAATTAAAACTTGAGGTAATGAAATTGATGCGTGGATACTATATTTTAGAATAAAATTGACAGATGAAAATGTCAAGATGGCCGCTAGGCGCTTCCTTGAAAAAAATATGAAAACAGGGTCTTGTGTCATATCATTTTGAAGCACCTGACGAGTACTTAAAACTAGAATATAAAGTCAATACCTTTACCTACTACAAAATGGTGGTACATTTAATAATTACCTGAATACATTGTCATTTAACTTGATAATTCGAATCAATACGTTGAGTTCAGTTTAGAAGATGCTCGAAATGGTTGCCTTGAACTTCTTGACATAATGACAGCCGGTCCCTACTTCGCGTCGAACATTTTCAGACATCAATATTTCTACAAATATTTGTTATTCTCAGCCGTATATCCACTACTGAAGCAGCTTCAGTTTCGTACAACTTTTGCTTCAAATAGCCCCATAAAAAAAGTCTAAAGGTGTCAAATCAGGCGAGCGAGCTGGCCATTCCACAGGACCTTGACGGCCAATCCAACGAGGAACTTGTTATTTAAATAATTCCTAACTTATCTGGAGTAGTGTGTTGGAGCACCATCTTGCTGAAATACAATATCAGTATCAAAGTCATTAGTGAT